CCAGCCTGGGGAAGAAGGCTCACCCCTCAGATTCCACCCCATCCCCACAGGGTCCCTGATAACCTGGTCCCATGGGTGGGCCTGTCCTGGGGCATTGGTGGCATTCTGGGGGCATGTCTCTTGCTGTGCCATCTCTGCCTCCCCCTGGTAAGAGCTCTGTCTTCCTCTTCCTATAGGAGAAGAAGGCAAACAATGAGAAACAGAAAACTGAAAGGGAGCTAGAGGTGAGTGGAGGGTGTGAAGGTTTCTCCTGTCCTCCGGAGAATGTTTCTTTCCTTCTCTTCCAGCACTTGCTTGGCTTTTCTCCCAAAGGTTCAAATCCAGAGATTGAATAGACAGATAAAGGAACTAAATACAGACATGAATCACACGAAACGTTCTCTCAGATACTTTGAAGGTGGGAATCTGGGCACCCTGTCACCCTTCAACCTGGCACTTTGAAAGGTCTTTAGGGAGAGTCCTTTGGGCCCCATCTCAACTCTCATTACAGAAGAGTCCAAGGATCTGGCTGGCCGCCTGCAACAAACACTGCAGTGTATAGAAGAGTTAGAGCAGGCTCTGTCTGCTGTCCCCGCCACACAGGAGGAGAAGGAGATCAGTGTGAGTTCAACCACCTGCCCTGTCCCCTGGGAGCCCGGCTTCGCAGATGGAGGAGTGAGCCTAAAAGTCCCTTCTGCAGGATGGAGTGTCCTGCCCAGAAGGCGGCATGGCCATGTCTCGCTGCTTTTGTGTCTGGTTGTTACAGGCAGCCTGGGGCTGAGTCAGCTGCTGTGGGTGAGTTGGGGGGTGTGGTGGGGAGCACTGGACGTAGAGCTTGGAGGCCAAGTGCCTGCCCTGCCCTTACCTGGCTGTGGTCTTGGCCAAGTCCTAGGTGGAGTATTGGGTACTTATACTGTGAAGGTACAGAAGAGTATCCTTAGTATGCTACCATTTCTGTAGAGAGAGGAAACCTGTGTGTGTGTGTGTGTGGGTGTGTGTGTGTGTGTGTGTACATATTATGATAATATACAGAAAACATGTCTGCAAGGGTTCATAAAAAAAACTCAGGAGAGAGCCACAGGGCGACTGGGAGATACTTCCCTTCTGTACCTTCTGAGTTTTGGACTATACGAATGTGTCATCCTTTCAAAAAGTAAACAAAAGATTAATTGTCCCCTTCCTATCTGTGCCCCCATCCCCAGCAAGAAAAATGGGCTTAGAGAATGGGATAGACCTGGGTGTTCAAATCCCAACTCTGCCTAAGTGATGTTAGGCAAGCGCTTAACCTCAAATACTTCATGATTTTTCATCTACACAATAGACGTCATTATAGTAACTGTCTCCTATCGTGGTTGTGAGGATTAAATGGGATTGCTAGCATGGTACCTGGTGAAGCACTCCGTAAAGGTTCAGACAGTGCTAGTAATAACAGTAATAACAAGAGCAATATTATCTGATCTCTCTGGGCCTCTGTTAGCCAGCTGTAAATTCGATCTCTTTCCCTGTCCCTTCCAACTTTACTGAGTTCTTTTAAAAACCAGACCATGGGCTTGGAAATGCCTCGATCTTTACTGACCAAGTTGTATATTGAGCCTAGCCCTAGCCCTTTTAAGAGGCACTGTGTGGAATGGCCCGGGCTCCCCAGATGGAAACTTCTCACTCTTCACCATCCAGTTCTCAAGCCGCAGTCAAGCACTTATTGAGTGGCAGTTAGAGCAGTCCATACAGGAGAAGGCACGGCTGAAAGCACAGCTGACCCAGGTGAGGTTTTGCAGAGGGAGAGATGTGGAAGGAAAATGATCCCAAGTGGCCAGGAGCAGGTGAGGACCAGTGACAGCCCTTCCTAACTTCTGTGCCCATTCTTGCAGATGAAGGATTCACTTAAACAAGCCCATGTGGACAGAGAGGAATATGCTCAACATCTAAAAGGAGAGAGGGCCCAGTGGCAGCAGAGGATGAGAAAAATGTGGCAGGAGGTGAGATCTGACCCTTCAGCCCCGCCACCTTAGATGGGTCACTGGATCTTTCTGGGCATCTGTAACATGGGAATATACAGCCAGATGTGGTCATGGGTCTGGGCTTTGTGGAGGTGGGGGCAGAGAGGGAGATGGCAGCCACCAGCCACCAGCCCCTCTCTCCAGGGCGCTTTTCCCCTGTGCTTTGGGCAGGTTTGCACCTTGAAGAAGGAGAAGAAGGATGACACACATCGGGTGGAGGAGCTGAAGAGGAGCTTGTCCAAACTCAAACACCAGATGGGTGAGATGGGGCTGGTGTGACCTGGGAGCAGGCCTGGCATCAGAGGGCTGTGGAGGGGCTTAGAATGCCCCAGGGAGGTGGGTGGATGGAAGGGCTTTGAGGCAGAAGGAAAGAGGTCTGTGCCAGGAGACGGCAAATCTTGTCATCTCCGTGAGCGTCAGTGTCCCCATCAGCAAAGGGGGCCCGTTGTCAGTCACCCACAGTGCTCTCCATCTGAAAGTGGTTTGGAAGATTGGCTACTATCCGGGTGCGAGGAATCATTAGCAGTGAGGCCAAGTTTGGGGAGCCTGAGAGGAGCTGTGCACCAAGAGGAGGGGTTTTTTGTTGTTGTTGTTTGTTTTGTTTTGTTT